CCAGGATGGTCTCGATCTCCTGACCTCGTGATCTGCCCGTCTCGGCCTCCCAAAGTGCTGGGATTACAGGCTTGAGCCACCGCGCCCGGCCGCCAGGCTGGTCTTGAACTCCTGACCTCAAGCAGTCCACCTGCCTCGGCCTCTCAATGTACAAAATAATCTTTTAAAGTGCTATCTGAAATTCAGAGCCTCCTGTATTTCTGTTTGCTAAATCCAGTAACTTTCTTCTTGCCCTAAGAAAACCATGCAAGTGTGAGCTCCCTGGTTACCTGCATGGGGAGGGGTACCCCTGAGCCTGTGACCCCACTCCACATAGGTAACCACCCACCCTGCAACCTTCTGGGTTTGGTCTTAGAATGCAACCCAGGCCAAAATCTGGCCGAAACCCTAATGATGCCTCAGGCTTATCCAATAACCAGGATGAAGGCCTCGAGTGCCCTGCACAGCAGGTCCAGGGAGTGACCCAGAGCTCCCTCCCGCTTTGTCCTCTCCCTTCCATGGCTGTTCTCTCTGCGGGCAGGAAGGAAGATGTGGTTCTTACGGTTGTCGTCGTTGACCAGGCCATAGCAGACCTCATAGGCTGTGATCTCACCGTTGGTCTCAGCCGGCTCGGCCCAGCTCAGCTGGGTCACCGTGGAGGAGACGACATTGAAGGCCAGACGCCCTGGCTCGCTGGGCACTAGGAAGCGGGGGATACAGGAAGAGTGCTGTCAGTGGCAGAGGGGAGGGCTGGGCACACTGGCATCAGGGCAGCCAGGGGACAAATGGACAGACATGGTGAGGCCTCACCTTCCTGGTGGGTGCGGCAGGACACCAGGGAGCTGTAGGGTCCCTCGCCCTGAGCCCCGTAGGCGCACACCTTCATCTCATAGTCGCAATATGGGTACAGGTTGGTGAGCTCCACTGAGGGCACCTTGCTGTCGAGTAGGTGGGCTTCGGACTCGGAGTCACCCTGAATCCAGTACTTTACCTGCCCCCAGGGACAGGGGTCCTGGTCAGCAGGGAGCAGCAAGCACCCAAGCTGCCTGTCCCTCTGCTGACCTCTGCCCTTACTGATCTCTTTGCACAGATGAGAGACACTAAGGTCTGAGGGAGGGGCTGAAAGATCTGCCATGGGCACACATCGGGACTGGGGCAGAGCAGGTGGGGGTGTCTCCCATGCGGGGGTGGGAGGGGGCCCCATTTTAGGAAGGAGGACAAATGTCTAATAAGCTCGGGAATGGGTCTTCCCTCTTCCCCAGCACAGACCGGGTTTCCCTCTGACCACCTGTGCTAGGTTCCACTGTCTGCTCTCTCTCAGCGGGCCCTGGCCTCAGACGGCCCACCTCTTCCGTGAGGGCTGGTACCAGACCGCCCATCCACCTGCCGTGGCCCTCAGCCCCCCGCCTTACCCTGTACCCCATTGGCTTGCCAGAAGGGGGCAGCCAGTTGAAATGGATCTTCCTGGACCCAGCGGCCTTAGCGTTGGGGTTCTGCGGGGCGCCCAGGTCACCGTGAGGGGGTGGCTGTGATGACACCATCTGACGCGTGAGGCTCCGGTCCAGCTCATCTAATGGGTCAAGCCGGGGCAGGGCAACCACTCAGATCCTGCTTCGCCACCAGGGGGCGACAGAGACCCACTTAAACACCCAGGGCGCTCTGCCCAGCGCATTCAACTCAGACCTGCCCACCCGTGTCTCTGGACACCTGGTGCCCCATTGCTGCCACATAGAGCATCCTGCCAAGCTTGGCGGAGGACCCAGGAGAGTCACTGGAGGAACAGAAGGAGGAGGGAGTTGGTCTGCCCCTTTCTCCCTTGGCAGCTCAGGGAACATTCCACATGAGAACATTTGCTCCCAGCCCCATTTCCACACCATACCCTGAGTATCTCACTCCTCTCCCATCTTCCTGGCAGGCCTTCCCCCAGTGGGGAGGCTGAGGGCTGAGAGGAACTAACTGGCCCACCTCTTCCAGAAGCACCTGCATGTTAGTTGGAACTGAGGCTGAAGCCAAAGGGCCAGGGTCTGATGGGAGAATTCCTATTGCGTGACCTCAGCCTCTCTGGCTGTCGGGTTGCCGGATAACATGTAGATGCCTAGTTACATATGAATTTCAGATAAACAACAGCCTTTTCTTTTGTTGTTGAGGGGCAGGGTCTCATTCCATGGCCCAGGTGCTGTGCAGTGGTGTGATCACAGCTTGCTGCAGCCCAGACTCCCTGGGCTCAAGTGATCCTCCCACCTCAGTCTCCAGAGTGGCTGGGACTCTAGGTGCACACCACTACGCCAAGCTAATTTGTTTATTTTTTGTAGAGACAAGGTCTCACTATGTTGCCCAGGCTGGTCTAGGACTCCTGGGCTCAAGTGATCCTCCCACTGCAGCCTCCCAAAGTGCTGGGATTACAGGCATGAGCCAGTACACCCAGCCCATTTTGCAAAAATAGGATAAGTACGTTCCAAATATGGCATGGAACATACTTACCCTACCAACGTGTATGTTGTTATCTGAAATTCAGATTTACCCGGGAGTCCTGTGTTTAGATTTGCTAAATCTGGCAGACCTAGTTGAGAGACCCCCAGTCTTCCCTCTCCCCCTGCTTAAGCCAACCCCTAGGCTCTGCCTACCTGGGTCCCTGATGATGACGGTGGTGGAGTGGGGCTGGCCCAGGTGGGCCCCAAACTTAGGGTTGCTGAGCTGTACGTGGAAACGGCGGATCTGGCGGCCCCGCAGAAGGGAGTCGACCTCTTGCAGCTCCAGGAGCTTCACCTGCAGCTCTTTCCAGGCCTCTCCAGGCTGGAACAGCAGCTCACCCTCCACAGGGATGTAGTCCTGGGAGTGGAGGGGTCAGGGTCAGGGTCGTGGCCGGGGGCTGAGGCAAGAGTCACGGCCACATGCTCCCTCCCAACCTCATGGACACCGCAGAGATCATCCCTGCTTGCTGGGTGGAGTACTTACATCAGCTTCAGGTTTTTGTGGGGTTTTTTTTTTTTTTGAGGTGTAATCTCACTCTTTCGCCTAGGCTGGAGTGCAGTGGCGTGATCTCGGCTCACTGCAACCTCCACCTTCCGGGTTCAAATGATTCTCACACCTCCGTTTCCCAAATAGCTGGGATTACAGGCACCTGCCGCCACGCCCGGCTAATTTTTGTCTTTTTAGTAGAGATGGGGTTTCACCATGTTGGCCAGGCTGGTCTCGAACTCCTGACTTCAAGTGATCCTCCCGCCTTGGCCTCCCAAAATGCTGGGATTACAGACATGAGCCACCATGTCCAGCCATGTTTTTGTGGGTTTTTTTTTTTTGAGATAGGGTCTCACTCTTGTCACTCAGGCTGGAGTGCAGGGGCACAATCACGGCTCACTGAAGCCTTGACCTCCTGGGCTCAGCCCATCCTTTCCCTCAGCCTTCTAAGTAGTGGGAGTACAGGTGTGCACCACACCTAGCTAATTTTTTTTTTTTTTTTTGTAGAGGCACGGTTACCCTATGTTGCCTAGGCTGGTCTTGAACTCCCGGCCTCAAGCGATCCACCCACCTTGGCCTCCCAAAGTGCTGGGATTACAGATGTGAGCCACCCAGCTTCCTTTCAATGCAGTGGAGCTTGCCTGAGCTTTCCAGAATAACTGGGAGGAAAAAAAAGAAAATCCTTCACATAGAAGACCACTAGGTGGCACTTCAGGGCAAGATTTCAATTCCAGGCTCAGCAGCCAGGGCCATGGCTGGGGAGGCAACCTCATGCCACCCAACTCAGAAAGTGAGGCCCATAGTTGTAAAACAAAAACAAAAACAAAACAAAACAACAACAACAAAAAAAACCAGGGAGCTGCCTGCAAGCAACCTACATAGATATTTCAAAAATGTCAGTGTCAGTGTCATTAGCCCAGCATGGTGGCAGGTGCCTGTAATCGCAGGTACTTGGAAGGCTAAGGCAGGAGAAATGCTTGAACCCGGGAGGTGGACGTTGCAGTAAGGCATTGCACTCCAGCCTGGGCAACAGAGCAAGACCTTGTCTTAACAAAAGTCAGCATCACGGAAGACAAAGCCAGGAAACTTTTCTAGATAAAAGGAGTCAGGACCCGTGAAAAAATTCAATGCCAAATCCTTGATTGGTTCCTGCATTGGGAGGAAAAACGCTATAAAGGACATTATTGGGACATCCAAACAAGGGGACATCGGAATGTGGACCAATTTTATTTTATTTTATATATATTTTTTGGGATGGAGTTTTGCTCTTTTGCCCAGACTAGAGTGAAGTGGTGCAATCTCAGCTCAGTGCAACCTCCACCCACTGGGTTCAAATGATTCTCCTGCCTCAGCCTAGCTAGTAGCTGGGATTGTAAGCACCCGCCACCATGCCCGGCTAATTTTTGTATTTTTCGTAGAGACGAGGTTTCTCCACGTTGGTCAGACTGGTGTCAAACTCCTGACCTCAGGTGATCCACCTGCCTCGGCTTCCCAAAGTACTGGGATTAAGGTGTGAGTCACTGGTGATGCCCAGCCGGAATATGGACTAATTTTAGGTACTAGTATAATCAATGTGAAGATACAGATGTCCACATCTGTATCTCTATTTGTGTTGCTATCTATATAGAAAGAGAGAGAAAGCAAATATTAGCAATCAGTGAATCTATGTAAAGGGTAAATGGGTGCTAGTTTTATTGTTCCTTTCATTTTTCTGTATGTTTGAAGTTTTTCAAAATAAAAAGGTGAGAAATTAAAATGTTTTTAAAAATAAATATCAAAGTTTTTTTTTTTTTTTGAGACAGGTGTCTTACTCTGTCACCCAGGCTGGAGTGCAGTAGCACTATCTCGGCTCACTGCAACCTCCACCTACTGGGCTCCACCTCAGCCTCCCAAGTAGCTGGGACCACAGGTGCACACCACCACACCCAGATCATTTTCTGTATTTTCGGTACAGACAGGGTTTTTCCATGTTGGCCAGGCTGGTCTCGACCTCCTGATCTCAAGCGATCCGCCCACCCTGGCCTCCCAAACTGCTGGGATTACAGGCATGAGCCACTGCACCCAGCCTCAAAGCATCTTTATACAAGTGTAACAGGATAGCCAGAAGGCAAGGCAAAAGGATCATGTTATCCCAGGAGTTCGAGAGCAGCCTGGGCAACATGGCGAAAACCTATCTCTACTAAAAACACAAAATGGCCGGGCGCGGGGGCTCACACTGTAATCCCAGCACTTTGGGAG